AGTGATCCTCCCCAGAAGGATACCATGGTTGGTGGTATCGAAAGCCGTTGAGATATCCAAGAGAACCAGCAGGGTCACACTCCCCCTGTCCAGTTCCCTACGGAGGTCATCCACCAAGGCGACCAAAGCCGTCTCGGAACTGTGCCCAGACCGAGAGCCAGACTGCGAGCGATCCAGAAAATCGGTATCATTGAGGAATCCCTGGAGCTGAGAGGCAACCACCCGCTCCAGAACCTTGTCCAAGAAAGGGAGGTTGGGAATTGGTCTATAGTTGTCGCATATAGTCGGGTCAAGGGAGGACTTCTTCAGCAGAGGTTTTACCACCGCCTGCTTAAGGCAGGATGGAAATTTCCCCTGGCCCTATGAAGCATTTATTATCGCAGCACACCATTCCAACAACCCCTCCCTGGCCAGCTTCACTAACCTACAAACCATCTCCAGACCCACCAAGAAAATCCAGCAAAGGAACAAGAGGGATCTTCTCACTTCTGGAGGAGTCTACTGGATACCATGCAGCTGTGGAGACGTCTCCATAGGCACCACCAAACGCAGCAGCAGCATTGCCCAGGCACGAATCAAGGAACACGCAAGGCAGACTCATCCAACCAGAGAAGTCAGCCAGAGCAGAGCACCTGGGGAACCCACCTGGACACAGAATATCACTTGAGAACATGGAAATCCTGGACCATTCTGACAACCAGCATGCCAGGCTACGCAGAGAAGCCATTCTCTACACAGGTGGACCATCTCAACAGAAAGGAGGAAACCATTAAAATTAACACAATCGTAACTTGGCCACAGTAGTCCATGCTCTGGTTACATCCCGTATAGACTACTGCAATGCACTCTACGTGGGGTTGCCTTTGAAGACTGTCCGGAAGTTTCAAATTGTCCAACGGACGGCAGCCAGGTTACTAACAGGAGCGGTATACAGTGAGCACACGACTCCTCTGTCTGCCAATCTACTTCCGAGGACAATTCAAAGCGCTGGCTTCGGCCTATAAAGCCCTAAATGGTTCTGGTCCAACTTACCTGTCCAAAGGCATCTTCCCTTATGAACCTGCGAGGACTTTAAGATCGCCCGGGGAGGCCTTGCCTTCGATCCTGCCTGCATCACAAACATGAGAGACAGGGCCTCCTCTGTGGTGGCCCCTCGGATATAGAACGCCCTTCCTGGGGACATTAGATCTTAACATTTCGGAAAAGAGTCAAGACTTGGTTGTTTGAACAAGCGTTTGAAAATGCAAGGTAAATGACATAGGAATTGGAATGACTGGATGATGAGATTGGACAACGTTTTTATTAGAAGACGTAATTGATGTATGTTTTTAATACTATTGTTATGGTTTTATTCCAGCAATGACCAGCCAATCCCTCTCCAATGCTAAAAATACAGCTTAATGGTGTAACATTAGAAAATGTGGATAATTTCCGCTCCCTTGGCAGCCACCTCTCCACCAAAGTCAACATTGAGACTGAAATACAACACCGCCTGAGCTCTGCAAGTGCAGCATTTTTCCAAATGAAGCACAGAGTGTTTGAAGACCGGGACATCCGTAGGGAGACCAAGGGGCTTGTCTATAAAGCTATTGTCCTCCCAACCCTGCTCTACGCCTGCAAGACGTGGACAGTCTACAGACGTCAACATTGACACTGAAATAGAACACCGCCTGAGCTCTGCAAGTGCAGCATTTTTCTGAATGAAGCAGAGAGTGTTTGAGGAACGGGACATCCGTAGGGAGACCAAGGGGCTTTTTTATACTGTCCTCCCAACCCTGCTGTAAGTCTGTGAGACGTGGACTGTCTATAGACGTCACATGCAACTCCTGGAATGATTCCATCAGTACTGCCTCCGGAAAATCCTGCAAATCTCTTGAGAAGAGAAGTGGACAAATGTCAGCATGCTGGAAGAAGCAAAGACCACCAGCACTGAAGAGATGGTCCTCCGCCATCAACTCTGCTGGACCAGCCACGTTGCCTGGATGCCCGACCACCGTCTCCCAAAGCAGTTGCTCTACTCCGAACTCAAGAATGGAAAACGGAATGTTGGTGGGCAGGAAAAGAGATTGAAAGATGGGCTCAAAGCCAACCTTAAGAACTCTGGCATAGACACTGAGAACGGGGAAGCCCTGGCCCTTGAGCGCTCCAGCTGGAGGTCAGCTGTGACCAGCAGTGCTGAAGAATTTGAAGAGGTACGAATAGAGGGCGAAAGAGAGAAACGTGTCAAGAGGAAGGCGCATCAAGCCAACCCCGACCAGGACCGCCTTCCACCGGGAAACCGATGCCCTCACTGCAGAAGAAGATGCAGATCAAGAAGAGGCCTCCACAGCCACCTACGGACCCATCCCCAGAACACTACACTTGGAGGACCATCATAGAATCATAAGAGTTGGAAGAGACCTGGTGGGCCATCCAGTCCAACCCCATTCTGCCAAGAAGCAGGAATATTGCATTCAAATCACCCCTGACAGATGGCCATCTAGCCTCTGTTTAAAAGCTTCCAAAGAAGGAGCCTCCACCACACGCTAGGGCAGAGAGTTCCACTGCTGAACAACCCTCGAACTACAAGGGATCGCCTATGTAAGTATGGTATTTATATTAGTAAGTATGGTTTTATAGGTCATGCTTTTAAATGTTTTATGGTGTATTGGGCATCGAATTGTTGCCTCTGTAAACCGCCCTGAGTCACCAGCGGGCTGAGAAGGGCCGTATACAAATACAGTAAATAAAATAAATAAAATAAATCAATAAATCTGGCTCCCAGGATGAAAAAACACAGTCAATAAGGCACATTACTCAGCAACAGGGGAACTCCAGGCAGGGCCAGTGAACAGCTCCCAAACAGAGGGTGCCTCCAGGCAACAACAGCCAGGCCACCTCTATGCTGATGCACTCCTTGATTGACTTTGCAAACTTGCTATTCCAGCTGGCTCATTGCAAGACCCACACTTGCTTCCAGCAGGCAAGGGTTCTTTCTCTCACCCTGGACATTCTTCCACAGATGGATATATCTATAGCAATGTTTCTCAACCACGGGGTCGAGTTCAGAATGCTCTTTGATTGTAGGTGAACTATAAATCCCAGCAACTACAACTCCCAAATGTCAAGGTCTATTTTCCCCAAATTTCACCAGTGTTCACATTTGGGCATATTGAGTATTTGTGCCAAGTTTGGTCCAGATCCATCACTGTTTGAGTCCACAGTGCTCTCTGGATGTAGGTGAACTACAACTCCCAAACTCAAGGTCAATGGCCATCAAACCCTTCCAGTATTTTCTGTTGGTCAAGGGAGTTCTTTGTGTCAAGTTTGGTTCAACTCCCTTGTTGGTGGAGTTCAGAATGCTCTTTGATTGTAGGCGAACTATAAATCCCAGCAACTACAACTCCCAAATGTCAAGGTCTATTTCCCCCAAATTTCACCATTGTTCACATTTGGGCATATTGAGTATTTGTGCCAAGTTTGGTCCAGATCCATCACTGTTTGAGTCCACAGTGCTCTCTGGATGTAGGTGAACTACAACTCACAAACTCAAGGTCAATGGCCATCAAACCCTTCCAGTATGTTCTGTTGGTCATGAGAGTTATGGCCCATGGATGGCCCATGAGGTCTCTTCCAACTTTTTGATTCTATGATTCTATGTGTGCTAAGTCCGATTCAATTTCATTGTTGGTAGAGTTCAGAATGCTCTTTGAATTTAAATGAGCCATAAATCCCAGTAACTACAACTCCCAAATGACAAAATCAACCCCCCCCCCCCCAATCCCACCAGTATTCAAATTTGGGCATATTGGGTATTTGTGCCAAATTTGGTCTAGTGAATGGAAACACATCCTACATATCAGATAGAATCCTAGACTCAAAGAGTTGGAAGAGACCTCCTGGGCCATCATCCAGTCCAACCCCATTCTGCCAAGAAGCAGGAATATTGCATTCAAAGCACCCCGACAGATGGCCATCCAGCCTCTGTTTAAAAGCTTCCAAAGAAGGAGCCTCCACCACACTCCGGGGCAGAGAGTTCCACTGCTGAACGGCTCTTACAGTCAGGAAGTTATAGAATCCTAGACTCAAAGAGTTGGAAGAGACCTCCTGGGCCATCATCCAGTCCAACCCCATTCTGCCAAGAAGCAGGAATATTGCATTCAAATCACCCCTGACAGATGGCCATCCAGCCTCTGTTTCAAAGCTTCCAAAGAAGGAGCCTCCACCACACTCCCTCCGGGGTAGAGAGTTCCACTGCTGAACGGCTCTCACAGTCAGGAAGTTATAGAATCATAGAATCAGAGTTGGAAGAGACCTCCTGGGCCATCATCCAGTCCAACCCCATTCTGCCAAGAAGCAGGAATATTGCATTCAAAGCACTCCTGACAGATGGCCATCCAGCTTCTGCTTAAAAGCTTCCAAAGAAGGAGCCTCCACCACACTCTGGAGCAGAGAGTTCCACTGCTGAATAGCTCTCATAGAATCAAAGAGTTGGAAGAGACCTCCTGGGCCATCCAGTCCAACCCCATTCTGCCAAGAAGCAGGAATATTGCATTCAAATCACCCCTGACAGATAACCATCCAGCCTCCCTTCTGCTAACCTTTTGAGAAGCAAAACAACCACCACCACTACCACCTCCTCATAGAATCAAAGAGTTGGAAGAGACCTCCTGGGCCATCATCCAGTCCAATCCCATTCTGCCAAGAAGCAGGAATATTGCATTTAAAGCACCCCTGACAGATGGCCAGCCATCCTCTGTTTCAAAGCCTCAAAAGAAGGAGCCCCCACCACACAGATATTTACATTACAATTCATAACAGTAGCAAAACTATAGTTTTAAGTAGCAATAAAAATATTATTATGGTTGGGGGGTCACCACAACATGAGGAACTGCATTAAGGGGTCGTGGCATTAGGAAGGTTGAGAACCCCTGATCTATAGGGAGAGACCTCCTTTGCAGCAGAGCTCACCAACCTCTGGAGAAGGGGGCGTGGGCTGTGCTTGCCCCCTCCCACCTCGCCCTGGGTCCTCCCCTTGCCTGCCTTCCTGAGAGTCCAGTCTGCCTCTGCCCAGTGCCAGGATGGGACCCTTCCTCCTCCTCTTCTCCTTCTTCCTCTGCCTTCCATCCTTCGGCTTCGGGCAGGAGAAGCCCCCCGCCCAGGGAAACCAGTCCAGGTCAGAGACCCCTCCCCATCCCATCCCACCCTATTGAGGGAGGGAAAGAAGAGAGAAAGAGGGAGTGAGGGAGGGTCTGCAGGTGCCTGCCAAGACCCCCCTTTTGGGGCATGCATGCAAGCATGGGGGTCTCCCTCTCTCTTTCCCCCCTTTTTGCAAAATCAGGGGGGTTCAAAGGGGGGGGGGAGAGAGAGGCCATAGACTGTCCATCAGTCACCCCCTTTGTGGGGAAGGGTCCTCCCTCCAAGGCCCCCCACCCACCCAAAGGAGCCCTCTCTCTCTCTCTCTGATGGGCCTCTCTGTGAGTGGGGGTCCTTCCCCCCCCCCTCTCTTCTCCTCCTTTTCCTTCTCTTTCCACTTCTTGGCAGAGGTTTGAGCTCAACATCTGGAAGGACTTAAGTCCAGCGAGGCGGGCGCTTCGCCTGCCAGGAACCAGAGGAGACGCCGCCAAGCGGATTCCCAGAATTCTTGGGTCAAGAAGGAGGCAAAGTGGGTGGGTGGGTGGGTGCCTGGGGGGTCCTTTCAGGGGGAGAGAGGTCAAGGAGAGAAGTCAAAGTAGTTGCCCATGAGAATGTTCCCACAGGGTCTAGGGATGATACTTTACTCCCTGAATTGCTCCCGGGATTCGGGGCTTGAAAACAACTCAGCACCTGGAGAAACTCCAAGTTCAAGGGTTTATACGGCATCCATTGAGGGGTAGGGGGTCCCACTTATGGGGTTCTGCATGCGTTTTGTCATAGCTTGATTTCCCAATGGACCAGGCTAGATGACCCTTGGGGACCCCTTCCCGATCCTATCAGCCCCGAGGGGTTTTGTTCCCACGGTATAGGGATGATAGTTTACTCCCTGAATTGCTCCCAGGATTCGGGGCTTGAAAACAACTCAGCACCTGGAGAAACTCCTAGTTCAAGGGTTTATATGGCATCCATTGAGGGGTAGGGGGTCCCACTTATGGGGTTCTGCATGCGTTTTGTCATAGCTTGATTTCCCAATGGACCAGGCTAGATGACCCTTGGGGACCCCTTCCCGATCCTATCAGCCCCGAGGGGTTTTGTTCCCACGGTATAGGGATGATAGTTTACTCCCTGAATTGCTCCCAGGATTCGGGGCTTGAAAACAACTCAGCACCTGGAGAAACTCCTAGTTCAAGGGTTTATATGGCATCCATTGAGGGGTGGGGGGGTCCCCACTTATGGGGTTCTGCGTGCGTTTTGTCATAGCTTGATTTCCCAATGGGCCGGGCTAGATGACCCTTGGTGACCCCTTCCCGATCCTATCAGCCCCGAGGGGTTTTGTTCCCACAGGGTCTAGGGATGATAGTTTACTCCCTGAATTGCTCCCAGGATTCGGGGCTTGAAAACAACTCGGCACCTGGAGAAACTCCCAAGTTCAAGGGTTTATATCGCATCCATTGAAGGGTGGGCGATCCCCACTTATGGGGTTCTGCGTGCGTTTTGTCATAGCTTGATTTCCCAATGGGCCGGGCTAGATGACCCGTGGGGACCTCTTCCCGGTCCTATCAGCCCTGAGGAGTTTCCTCACCATGATCTTCCCAACAGCAAAGCAAGGCAGGCTCCCCTTTGAAGAGAACCCATAGGATACAGCCATGGCATCCAGAGTTGAGTCTGGAGGGTTTATTCAGAAGAGGTTGGATGGCCATCTGTCAAGAGGGATTGGGTTGTTCCTTTCTGAATGGCAGAAGGAGGTCAGACTGGATGGCCCTTGTTGGAGGGGGGGTCTCTTGTAACTCTGGAATTCTATTATTATTATTATCATTATTATTATTATTATTATTATTATTCAGCCAAGGCTGGACGATTATCTGTCAGAAATGCCTTGATGATGTCCTCCTGTCTGGCAGAAAGAAGTTGGACTGGATGCCCTTTAGAGTTCCCTTCCAACCCTTCTTATTATTATTATTATTATTTGAAACACCACAAGATGACTCCACAGCAGACACTCTGGTGGCTTGTTGTATCAGATCACACATCGGACACTTCCCAAGTGCGTTGTTGATGTTGTTGTTGTTGTTATTATTATTATTATTATTATTATTATTATTATGCAGAGGATGGATGGCTATGTGTTGGGAAGGCTTTGATTGTTTCTTCCTACCTAGTAGAAAGAGGGTGGACTGGATGGCCCTTGGAGTTCCTTCCAACCCTAGGATATTATTATTATTATTATTATTATTATTATTATTATTATTATTATTATTGTGCAGAGACTGGGCAGTCATCTGTCAAGAGGGCTTTGATGATGTCCTCCTGCCTGGCAGAAGGAGGTTGCATAATGGCCCTTGAGGTTCCTTCCAACCCTAGGATTCTATTATTATTATTAGTAGTAGTAGTAGTCGTCGTCGTATGCAGATTCTCATTTATTCTATTATTATTATTATTATTATTATTATTATTATTTAGTATTATTATGCAGAGACTAGATGGCTATCTGTCAAGAGGGATTTGATGATGTCCTCCTGCCTGGCAGGAGGAGGTTGGACTGGATGGCCCTTGGGGTTTCTCCCAACCCTAGGATTCTATTATTATTATTATTATTATTATTATTATTATTATTATTATTATTATTATTATTATTATTATTTAGTATTATTGTGCAGAGACTGGATGGTCATCTGTCAAGAGGGGTCTGATGATGTCCTCCTGCCTGGCAGAAGGAGGTTGGACTGGATGGCCCTTGGGGTCCTTCCAACCCTAGGATTCTATTATTATTATTATTAGTAGTAGTAGTAGTAGTAGTAGTAGTAGTATGCAGATTCTCATTTATTCTATTATTATTATTATTATTATTATGTATTATTATGCAGAGACTGGATGGCCATCTATCAAGAGGGGTTTGATGGTGTCCTCCTGCCTGGCAGAAGGAGGTTGGACTGGATGGCCCTTGGCAATCCCTTCCAACCCTAGGATTCTCTTCTATCTTCTATTATTATTATTATTATTATTATTATTATTATTATTATTATTATTTAGTATTATTGTGCAGAGACTGGATGGACATCTGTCAAGAGGGCTTTGATGATGTCCTTCTGCCTAGCAGAAGGAGGTTGGACTGGATGGCCCTTGGGGTTCCTCCCAACCCTAGGATTCTCTTCTATTATTATTATTATTATTATTATTATTATTATTATTTAGCATTATTATGCAGAGACTGGATGGCCATCTGTCAAGAGGGTTTTGATGATGTCCTTCTGCCTGGCAGAAGGAGGTTGCACAATGGCCCTTCGGGTTCCTTCCAACCCTAGGATTCTATTATTATTAGTAGTAGTAGTAGTAGTAGTATGCAGATTCTCTTTTATTCTATTATTATTATTATTATTATTATTATTATTATTATTATTATTATTATTATTATGCAGAAACTGGATGGACATCTGTCAAGAGAGCTTTGATGATGTCCTCCTGCCTGGCAGAAGGAGGTTGCACAATGGCCCTTGGTGTTCCTTCCAACCCTAGGATTCTATTATTATTATTATTATTATTATTATTATTATTATTATTATTATTATTACTATTACTATTATTATTATTATTATTATTATTATTATTATTATTATTATTTAGTATGATTGTGCAGAGACTGGATGGCCATCTGTCAAGAGGGCTTTGATGATGTCCTCCTGCCTGGCAGGAGGAGGTTGGACTGGATGGCCCTTGGGGGTCCCTTCCAACCCTAAGATTCTGATGACAATGATGCTGCAGAGGTCCTCTTGACCCCAAGGCCTGTCCGAGGAGGGGATGTGGGGACCCTATGGACACTCCTTTGGAGAGAGACCCTCCAAGCAGTCCTGCATAGGAAAGGGTTGGGCTGGATGACCCTTGGGGGCCCCTTTCCGACCCCTCTCTCCCTTGCAGGCCAGTCTTCCTCTGCGGGGGGGACCACACTGGAGACACCGGCTACATTGCCAGCCATGGCTTCCCGGACCCCTACCCTCACGGCCAGATCTGCAACTGGACCATCACCGTAAGTTCCCCAAGTTACTCCTTGCCTTCGTCCTTCCAAAGGATCTCGAACAATTACCTGGCGAAAGGAGCGTTGATCCAACCCGTTACTCTTTGCAACGGTCATTCAATGCGGTGGTGACATATTAGGAAGCATAGGTAGTAACTGCCAGTAGCGAATTCCTTCTAAGTTCCTTTTGTAAGTAGTTAAACAAGTGTCATTCTGTTGCTTTCCTTCATGGCCTGTAACTTGATTCCATTCATATTATTATTGTTATTATTATATTTATTTATACCCTACTTTATCTCTACTTTATCTCTTCCATAGCAAAGTAACTAGTTCCTCCTAAGTTCCTTTTTTAAGTACCAGAAGGTAGACAGCTAAAGGATCGCCATTCTGTTGCATTCCTTCATGGCTTGTAACTTGGTTACATCCATGTTTTAAGGAAGCAAAGGCAGTAATTGGCAATAACTAGGTACTTGTAACGAGTTCCTTTTTTAAGTAGCAAAAAGTACACAGCTAAAGGACTGCCATTCTGTTGCGTCCCATCATGTTTTGTAACTTGATTCCATCCATGCAATTAGGAAGTATAGGCAGTAACTGGCAGTTACTTGTAACTAGTTCCTTTTTTTAAGTAGCAAAAAGTACACAGCTAAAGGACTGCCATTCTGTTGCGTTCCTTCATGTTTTGTAACTTGATTCCATCCATGCAATTAGGAAGTAAAGGCAGTAAATGGCAAATACTTGTAACTAGTTCCTTCTAAGTTCCTTTTTAATAGCAACAAGTACACAACTAAAGGACTGCCATTCTGTTGCGTTCCTTCAGTTTTTGTAACTTGATTCCATCCATGCAATTAGGAAGTAAAGGCAGTAACTGACAGTTACTTATAACTTGTTCCTTCTAAGTTCCTTTTTTAGGTAGTGAAAGGTTGTGTTCCTTCACGGCTTGTAACTTGGTTACATCCATGTTTTAAGGCAGCAAAGGCAGTAATTGGCAGTAACTAGGTACTTGTAACTACTTCCTTTTTTAAAGTAGCAACAAGCACACAGCTAAAGAAGTGCCATTCTGTTGCATTCCTTCATGTTTTGTAATTTGATTCCATCCATGTCATTAGGAAACAAAGGCAGTAACTGACAGTTACTTGTAACTAGTTCCTTATAAGTTCCTTTTTTAGGTAGCAAAAGGTTGCATTCCTTCATGGCTTGTAACTTGGTTACATCCATGTTATTAAGAAGCAAAGAGTAATTAGCAGTAACTAGTTCCTCCCAAGTTCCTTTTTAAGTAACAAAAGGTGCACAGCTAAAGGTATGCCATTCTGTTGCATTCCTTCATGGCTTGTAACTTGGTTACATCCATGTTATTAAGAAGCAAAGAGTAATTGGCAGTAACTAGTTCCTCCCAAGTTCCTTCTTAAGTAACAAAAGGTGCACAGCTAAAGGGATGCCATTCTGTTGTGTCCCTTCTTGGCTTGTAACTTGGTTACATCCATGTTACTAAGAAGCAAAGAGTAATTGGCAATAACTAGTTCCTCCCAAGTTCCTTTTTAAGTAACAAAAGGTGCACAGCTAAAGGTATGCCATTCTGTTGCATTCCTTCATGGCTTGTAACTTGGTTACATCCATGTTACTAAGAAGCAAAGAGTAATTAGCAGTAACGAGTTCCTCCCAAGTTCCTTTTTAAGTAACAAAAGGTGCACAGCTAAAGGGATGCCATTCTGTTGCATTCCTTCATGGCTTGTAACTTGGTTACATCCATGTTACTAAGAAGCAGAATAATTAGCAGTAACTAGTTCCTCCCAAGTTCCTTTTTAAGTAACAAAAGGTGCACAGCTAAAGGGATGCCATTCTGTTGCATTCCTTCATGGCTTGTAACTTGGTTACATCCATGTAATTAGAAAACAAATGCAGTATCTCAAAGTAATTAGTTATTTGTAACTTGAACAAGTAATTAGTTACTTGTAATTAGTTACTTGTAACTAGTTACTTGCAAAGCGTTCCTTGCGAGTTCCCCTTTCTTTCTTTCTCCCCCGCAGGTGCCGGAGGGCCAGGTGGTGATGCTCTCCTTCCGCGTCTTCGACATGGAGCCGGACCCCGTCTGCCGCTACGACGCCCTCGAGGTCTACAACGGCCACTCGGCCACTGAGGCCCAGCGCTTGGGCCGCTTCTGCGGGACCTTCCGCCCGGGGGCCGTCCTCTCCACCAGCAACCGCATGATGCTGCGCATGAAATCCGACGAGAGCACCGGCGGGAGGGGCTTTCTGGTCTGGTTCAAGGGGGGGCTGCCCCACTCCGAAGGTAAGGAGGAGACCCCAAAACACTCTCCCCACTTACACACACGTTCAACTTGAGAACAAACCTACAAACCTGGCCCTCCCGCACCTGCGGGGGAAAAAGAAAGGGGAACTCACAAGGAATGCCTTGCAAGTAACTAGTTACAAGTAACGAATTACTTGTTCAAGTTACAAATAACGAATTACTTTGAGATACTGCATTTGCTTTCTAATTACATGGATGAAACCTTTCTTGCTCGTAACTTGGGATCAGCCTGCGTTGTGCCCGGAAGTGTTGCCCTTGCCCAGGAAAGGGGGTCCAAGGGGGTCAAGCCACAAACTTCCCCTTTGACCTCAGTTTACAGCAACAGAATGCCTTTCCTGGAAGTGTTTAAGTAGAGACTGGATGGCCATCTGTTGGGAGGGCTTTGATTGTGCTTTCCTTGCCTGGCAGAAGGGGGCTGGCTGCCCCTTGGGGTCTCTTCCAACTCTAGAATTATCATCACCATCATTGTTATTGAGAAACTGGATGACCATCATTCAGGAGGGTTTTGATTGTGTCTTCCTGCATAGCAGGGGTTGGACTGGATGACCCTTGGGTTGCTTCCAACTCTAGAATTATCATCATCATCATCATCATCATCATCGAGAAACTGGATGGCCATCAGACAGGAGGGTTTTGATTGTGTCTTCCTGCATAGCGGAGGGTTGGACTGGATGACCCTTGGGTCCCTTCCAACTCTAGAATTATCATCATCATCATTATTATTGCGAAACTGGATGGCCATCATTCAGGAGGGTTTTGATTGTGTCTCCCTGCATAGCAGGGGGTTGGACTGGATGACCCTTGGGTATCTTCCAACTCTAGGATTCAATAATCATCATCATTATTATTGAGAGACTGGATGGCCATCAGTCAGGAGGGTTTTGATTGTGTCTTCCTTCATAGCAGGGGGTTGGACTGGATGACCCTTGGGGTCGCTTCCAACTCTAGAATTATGATCATCGTCATTATTATTGAGAGACTGGATGGCCATCTGTTGGGAGGGCTTTCATTGTGTCCTCCTGCATAGCAGGGGGTTGGACTTGATGACCCTTGGGGTCTCTTCCAACTCTAGGATTCAATCATCACCAAACAAAGGCCATCAAATGCTAATCAAGGTGGTCAGTTGAAACATTCCCACCTAGCTCCAACAGACAAGAGTCCTTTGTCCCACCCTGGTCATTCCTCAGATATATAAACCCATTTTCCTAGTTCCAACAGACCTCACGATCTCTGAGGATGCTTGCCACAGATGCAGGCGAAACGTCAGGAGAGAATGCCTCTAGAACATGGCCATATAGCCTGAAAAAACCTACAACAACCCAATCATCACCATCATCTTGGATTGTGGCTTCCTGATGGGCAGAAGTGGGTCAGGCTAGACATCCTTTGGGTTCCCTTTCAGCTCTGTAATTCTGTGATATGGCCATTATGACTTAACTGAGGGTGCACCTACATTGCAGAATGGATGCCATTTGACCCCTCAGAGGTGCCATGGGAGCTGTAGTTTTGCAAGGCCTTTCTCCTTCTGCAGTCTCAGACTTTGGAGTTTTTGCAATTGCTTCCCACTCAAGTGCAATAATATCTCTGCAAAGGAGGGAAAGAGCCACGTTTCAAGGCCCGGAGGAGCCTTGTTCCTAGAAGCCAAGTGGGTCAGAAAGGAAGGATATTTTTTTGTGTGCAAAAGGTTTTGCAATCTCTCTGCAAAAAGTTGGCTCCTTTCCCTTCCCATGAGATTCCAGAGTTTCCCAGACAGAATATTTGGGGCCTGAGACAGAGGAGGAGAATCGCTTTGCAAGAAAGGACTCTCTGGGGATGCGTCTGCACTGGAGAATTGATGCAGTTTGACCCCATCTTGGCTCAGTGCTTTGGAATCCTGGAAATTGCAGTGCGGAGAAAGGCCAAAAATTTTGCAAAAGTGCAGCAGCTCCCAGGATGCCTTAACTATGAGTAATGGGAGTCAAAAGGGGTGTCAGACTGCATTCCTTCTACTGTGCAGATGCATTCTTGGAAGCCCAGGGTCTCCTTTGCAAGGCTTCCTCTGGACCTCTTGCCCTTGGAATACATTCCAAAGCTGGACATTGCTCCTGCCGCTGGACGCCCCCCTGACTGGCTTCGTTTCCTCTGGAAACTACTGTATAATTAGGAGGAATTCTGCGGTTCCCACAATTGCTGTTTTGCTGCTTTGCAAGAGACGGACGGAGGGGGGTCTCCTTCCTTCCGCTCCCTCGGTGCTGTTTGCAAAACAAACAAGGGTTCAAGCCAAACAGCCAGGAATGCGTTCCTCCTCTCCATCCTCCTTCCTTGCAGATTGGTGTCAGCAATAATTCTGGATGGCCATCTGTCGGGAAGGCTTGGATGGAGACTTCCTATATGACAGGAGAATGGGGTTGGACTGGATGGCCTCGGAGGATCTCTCACAACTCTAGGAGTGTGTGATTCAGAGGCTGGATGGCCATCTGTTGAGAGAGCTTCCTGCAGAAACGGGTTGGACTGGATGATCTTTGGAGGTCCTTTCCAACTCTAGGATTGACCAGTTGCCCCCGGTGGCACAGTGGGTTAAACCCTTGAGCCAGCAGGACTGAAGTCCGACAGGTCTCAGGTTTGAATCCGGGGAGAGGCGGATGAGCTCCCTCTACCAGCTCCAGCTCCTCATGCGGGGACATGAGAGGAGCCTCCCACAAGGATGATAAAAACATCCAATCGTCCAGGCGTCCCCTGGGCAACGTCCTTGCAGACAGCCAATTCTCTCACACCAGAAGCGACTTGCAGTTTCTCAAGTCGCTTCTGACACAACAAAAAAGAAAAAAAATTGGTTGCAAATGCATTTGGACTGAATGTCAGAAAGGGTCTTTTGGGGGAAAGGGTTTGGCATCCAAACAGGACCTATGAGTTCCTCCAGCTTGAGCCAGCCAAGTGAATGCACACTATTCCTTGCTTTGGAAATGTTTAAATATCCCACATGATTGTCGTTTTGGTCACATACGTGCTGAAATGGCTAAGACATGGATTATTGTTGTTATTGTTGTTGTTATTATTTAGACAGTGCTTTTTCTCTCCACAAGGAGATTCAAAGTGTTTGCTGTTGTTATAAATAATAATAATAATAATAATAATAATAATAATAATAATAATGTATTGTCGAAGGCTTTCATGGCCGGAATCACCGGGTTGTTGTAGGTTTTTTCAGGCTATATGGCCATGTTCTAGAGGCATTCTCTCCTGACGTTTCGCCTGCATCTATGGCAAGCATCCTCTGAGGATGCTTGCCATAGATGCAGGCGAAACGTCAGGAGAGAATGCCTCTAGAACATGGCCATATAGCCTGAAAAAACCTACAACAACCCAATAATAATCTTTATTTCTACCCCGCCACCATCTCCCCAAGGGAACTCGGGGCGGCTTACATGAGGCCAAGCCCAACAATACAGCAATGCAAATAAACAACATACAACGACAGTAAAATATTATAGATAGATAGATAGATAGATAGATAGATAGATAGATAGGTAGGTAGGTAGGTAGATAGATATGGCAGGGAGAAGGTTTCGGGAAAAGAGACAAAGAGAGGTCCGGAGGTCTCAAAAGCACGGATTTTATTTCCAGCTGGGACCCTGGAGTGGACTATGTCCAAAAGCATCCAGAGCCCCGATATAGGTGCGGACTATGGCTTTTATACCCTCCAATCGCAGTCAAACAAAGAACACGCATCTACATACAATGACCTCATTCACTACGTCACCTTAGCATCATACGAATATCAAGTTCTACCTTCCAACATACAAAAGGCATGTCTCTGTGTCTTTATAAAGAGCAAGCGTACAGCTTACATTCATCAATCAAGGGGCCTAACTTTGATCTGTCAGGAGGGAGAGGGGGGCTCCTTACTTAGAGCCTAGTTGTACCAGTCTGTTACTTATCTCTCTCCTGGAATGTATAGATAACAGCCCCCCCCCCCTCTTCAGCCCCTCTCTTGCTGTGACTGGACAGCAGCTTGCTTGTCCTGCTGGCATTCTTTCTATACAGAGAGAACTTGATTTTTCTATACATTTCAGTGCTTGCAAAGTACATACAATGTATACGTAAATCAATATCTATATTTCCAATATCTCCTCATCAATACAAGAAACAATATAAATAAATAAACTAATCCCAAGGACCACCCAGTCCAACACTCTGCTGTGCAGCAACGCACAACAGGATCGGATGGGGTCTTCCTATACGGCAGGAGAATGGGGCTGGACTGAGTGGCCTTTGGGGGATGTTGTGATGGAGTCTTCGAGTAGTGATACTACTAGGAGTATTAGGAGGGGAAGAAAGACTAGTCGTGAGCAAGACTCCGATGAGGAGCAACAGAGAAAGCAGATCCAGGAAATACTTATGGAATACTTATGGAATCCAGTGATGATGAATCATTTGTGGGCTTCGCAGGGAATAATGGGGTCTGAGACTGAGGAGAGTGGTATGGCAAGTTCAGAGGATGAGGAAATGGATTGGACTAAAGTAGGATTGTGTGATTCAGAGGCTGGATGGCCATCTATTGAGACACTTAGATTGTGTCTTACTGCAGAAGCAGGATGGACTGGATGACCTTTGGAGGTCACTTCCAGCTCTAGGATTGGCCAGTTGCTCTTGGTTGCAAATGCCTATGCAGCAACACATAACCCAAGCACTCTTGATCATCTGTCGGGAAGGATCGAACAGTGTCTTCCTTGCAGAAGGGGGTTGGACTGGATGGCCTTTGGGGGTCCCTTCCAAGTCTCTATATTGATACCTGACTTTCCTCTCTTCAACGGGACTCCAAGTAATTCACAACACTAATAATGTTCCCTACAACATCTAGATATCTAAATAGAATGAAATGCCGGATTCCGCTGAGCCTTGGCTTCCTGGATGGGACGCCCAGAGGCCATCTAGTCCAGCCCCTTCCTGCTCAATGCCCAGATTGCACCATAGCAATACGACAACTTTACCATTGGAAACCTACAATGTCTAGATATCTAAATAGAATGAAATCCTGGCTTCTTCTGCTGAGCCTTGCCTCCCTGGAAGGTGTCAGAGTAAAAATTCGGGGGGCTATGCGCAGCGGAAGAGGTTACTAGGTCACACAGACACAAATCAGGACACTGCAGTCTTCCAGTTTCAAAATAACATAAAGTTTTACTAAGTACATCTCAATACATGTCTACTTCTAAGCGGGCAAAATCAGGAACTACAAAGCACAGCTTCAGTACAGTTTCAGAACATCTGCTTATCTCGCTCTCTGGCTGTAAGCCGGATACTCCCTATTTCTTCCCAGCCAGAGAAACTCGTTATCCAACTTCTCTCTACCTCTCTGTCTCTTACAAAAACAATTCCAACACACAATTGAACATAACAGAATCCATCTTGAATATGAACACCATTCTCAATCATATAGAAACACATTGAAAAAACATACATGCATACCTTCAATAATCCTGACAGAAGGGTCCCCCAGAGGCCATCTAGTCCAGCCCTGTCCTGCTCAATGTCCAGATTGCCCCACTGCCCCATTCCTTGCCCTTCTAATTTGCAGAGAACCAGTTCTGTGGGGGGAAGCTGGAGAAGCCGCAGGGCAGCCTCAAGACCCCCAACTGGCCGGAGAGGGACTACCCGGCGGGCATCAGCTGCTCCTGGCACATTGTTGTCCCCAGGGAGAAGGTAAGCAAAGGGATATGGGGGCCGAATGGGGTCACCCGGCCTCTCCTCCTGGACTGGTCACTTGACCCGAACCTGTGTCCACTCTCAGATCATCGCCTTGACCTTTGGGAAGTTCGACGTGGAGCCGGACACTTACTGTCGCTATGACTACGTGGCCGTCTTCAACGGAGGCGACCGGGACGATTCGCGGCGCATCGGCAAGTTCTGCGGGGACGTTTCGCCCAGGTATGAGGGACCCCAGAGGGCATCTAGTCCAGCCCATTTCTGCTTCTTTCAGGGCTTCCAGCTAAAGCAGGCATTGGATAACTTTGGCCCTCCTTCCAGGTGTTTTGGACTTCAACTCCCACCATTCCGCACAGCCTCAGGCCCCTTCCTTTACCCCCTCAGCCGCTTAAGCGGGTAAAGGAAGGGGCCTGAGGCTGTGCGGAATGGTGGGAGTTGAAGTCCAACACACCTGGAAGGAGGGCCAAAGTTGGTTCATGCCTGAGCTAAAGCATCCCCAGAAGCAAGGAACTGACCAGCCTCTTTCTAGACACCTCCAGAGAAGGAGACTCACAGAATCCCAGCATTCAAAGGGGCTCCCAGAGGCCATCTAGTCCATCCCCATTCTGCTCAATCCCCAGCTGAAGCATCCCTAAAGGTTTTGCAAAAAAAAAAAAAGTCCAGAGAAAGAGAGCTACCAACTCTTTCTTACTATCCTTCCAATGCTCATTTGAACTCTCTTCTTGTCATTTAAATCCCAGGATCCCCAGAATGATTGAACTGCTTTAATTGCACAGGTGTTGCTGCTGGACTACAAGTCCCAGCAACCTTACTGGTCAGCTGTGCTGCAAATTGCACCCGAGCAGCTCTTAGGTTGTGTTTGGGTTGTGTTTCAACACGTGCAATTCCCAAAATTCACTGAGGAAAAATATACACAACCTACAAGTTAGGAGGGACCCCAAAAGGTCATCTAGTCAAGCCCTAGTGATGCTACAATTCATATCTGAAATATCTCTGCAGAGTTTAGGTTTGCAAGGCATATATACACACACACACACACACACACACACACACACATACACACACACACACACACACATACACACACACACACACATATACATACATACATACACGCACACACTAGCCGTCCCCTGCCACACGTTACTGTGGCTCAGTCTGCATATATGTGTTTTGTATGTGTGTATATATGTGTTTATATGTGTGTATATATTTGTGTATCTGTTTATATATGTTTGGGGATATATATATATACATATATATATATGTGTGTGTGTGTGCTTGTCTATATGCATATTTGTGTTTATATATGTGTGCATGTATGTGTGCGTGTATATTTGTGTATGCATGTGCATATGTATATGTATATATGTGTGTATGTAGATGTATGTGTGTGTATTGGGTGTGCTTGGGTGTGTGTGTGTGTGTGTGTATATATATATATATATATATATATACTATGTGTTATGTATATGTATATATGTGTGTGTGTGTGTAGATGTATGTGTGTGTATTGGGTGTGCTTGGGTGTATATATATATATACACACACACTATGTGTATGTATGTGTGCATGTGTATATGTATATGAATGTGTGTGTGTGTGTGTATAATATAATAATAATAATAATATTTTATTTGTACCCCGCTACCATCTCCCCAAGGGACTTGGTGTGACTTACATGAGGCCGAGCCCACAATACATCAGCAAAAACAACAACAACAGTAATACAAAACAATAAAATAAAACTCATAAACAAAAAATAGGCAATAAACATCAACAATAACACAATAACATTTAAAAACCTATGGCTGGGCCAAATGTAATAATTAAAAATTTGAAAATAATGCTGAGCATTATATATATGGTGTATTTTTGGGGGTTTTTTAAGTCCATTCTGCTGGGGATTTTTTTGTATTTTTAGGGGTGATGAACACTCATTGGACTGTTAGGTGTATTGCGTCAAAATTTCGTGTCAGTTTGTCCAGTGGTTTCCCACAAAGGAACATTACATTTTTATTTATATAGATGGATGAGCGTTGGATTGCAAAGAGAAGGGACAAAATACCCTTCTGGGGTTTGCTATGATGTCTATGTCCCACTCTCACTATCGGTTGTCTCAGCCCCGTTCTTAACTAGGAGCTGTCTGTTAGTCGGATGTTTGTAACTTGGGGACGGCCTGTATATCGGGCATGGGCCAACTTTGTCCCTCCCTGCAGGTGTTGTGGACTTCAACTCCCACAATTAGGCTGTTAGGAATTGTGGGAGGTGGAATCCTAAACACCTGGAGGGCCGAAGTTTGCCCATGCCTGTTGTATGGTGTGTACGCGTTGGAAATAATCGTTGTTGTCAATGGCAAGCTAAGCCCTGCTTTCTCCCCTCCGCAGCCCGGTCTACTCCGAGGGCAACGAGCTCCTGGTCCAGTTTGTCTCCGACCTGAGCGTCACGGCGGACGGCTTCTCGGCCTCCTACGTGGTCAAGGACCCCCACGAAGTGGCCGAGAAGCGCCCGGTGCCCCAGCCAGAGGGTCCCGTCTTCCCAGGCTCCAAGCCGGGCAAGAAGCCCTTCGCCCCCAAGCCCAAGCCCGCCCCCAAGCCCCCCAAGGCGGCCCCCGGCCCCAAGCCCAGCCCCCGGCCACGGCCCACCACCCCCACCGCCACCACAGGTAAGAGCAGCCGAGGGTCAGCGGTCAGCTTGGAATCGCAGAATCCTAGAATTCTATAGTCACCTTCTGCTATTATGCCAGTAAAGCACAATCCAAGCCCTCCTGACTGATGGCCACCCAGCTTCTGCTTAATAATAATAATAATTATAGAATCCTAGTTGGAAGTGACCCCCAAAGGCTATCTAGTCCAAGCCCCCTTCTGCCATAAGGCATAATCCAAACCCTTCTGACAGATGGCCATCCAGCCTCAAAGACATTCCAAAGGTTTGTGGAGAAGCACGGCTATGGAATCCTAGAAGGGACCCCCAAAAGCCATCTAGTCCTACCCCTTTCTGCAGTTATGCAGGAAAAGCACAAGCCAAGCCTTCCCGACAGATGGCCATCCAAGCCTCCAAAGAAGGAGACTAAAACTATTGAACAGCTCTCCTTATAGTCAGGAAGGTTTTGAATTCTGTATTTAGAGAGGGAAGTGGGATATTATTATTATTACTATTACTAATATTAATAATAATTCCCCACTTTTTCTCTCCACAAAGCAGACTCAAAATAGGATATGAATAAATAGCTGCCACAATTGTATTGAAGGAGGGCAAAGCGTTCAGCAAAGAAGGGGATGACAACTAGTGCTTTTATTTTGTTTTTTCTGACCTTTTAACTTCTCCCTTTTCCCCTTCCCTTCTTTCCTTTCCTTCCTTTCCTATTCTTCTTTCTTTTCTTCCTTCTTTTTCTTTCCTATCCTTCCTTTCCTTCCTTCCTTCCTTCCTTCCTTTCCTACATTCCTTATCTTTCCTTCCTCTTTTTTCCTTTACTTCCTTTCCTTGGCTGCCCTTCCTTCCTTCCCTTTCCTTCTCTTCCCTTCCCTTCTTTCCTATCCTTCCCTCTTCCCTTCCTTCCCTTCCTTCCCTCCCTTCCTTTCCTATCCTTCCTTCCTTTCCTACATTCCTTATCTTTCCTTCCTCTTTTTTCCTTTCCTTCCTTTCCTTGGTTCCTTCCTTCCCTTTCCTCCCTTCCCTTCCCTTCTTTCCTATCCTTCCGTCTTCCCTTCCCTTTCCTTCCTCCTTTCCTTCCTTCCTTTCCTACATTCCTTATCTTTACGTCCTTTTTTACCTGTCCTTCCTTCCCTTTCCTCCCTTCCCTTCCCTTCCCTTCCCTTTCCTTCTTTCCTATCCTTCCCTCTACTCTTCCCTTTCCTTCCTCCTTCCTTTCCTACCCTTCATTCCTCCCTCCCTCCTTCCCTTCCTTCCCTATCTTCCTTCTTTCCTCCTTCCTTTCTTCCTTCCTTTTTTCCTAGCTGAGGGCGAATGCCCCCAACGCTGCCAACGGACGGGAACGATCGTGAGCAACTTCTGCGAGAGAGATTTCGGTAAAAGTGCTTGGGATCCGCTTTGCGTGGCATTGGGAGGGCATGGATTGGGAGGGGCACTCGGATGGGAGAACACACGGGTTGGGGTGGGTGCCCTTTGGGAACACTTGGGAAGGGAGTCCCAAAAGGTGGGGACCCCAGGAGTAGCCCCCATTTATGGCACTGCCCCTTCCTTCCTTCCTTCCCTGGTGACCCTTTCCTTCTTCCCTCCTTGCAGTGGTCATAGGGTCAGTGCAGACGACAGTGCGAGGCCCTGGGCAAAGCGTCACGGCCACCGTCGTCCGCGTGCAGACCTTCAAGTCTGGTGGTTTGGCCCTCCCTCCGTTCGGGAGCGAGATCACCCTCCAAATGGAGGTGCCCTGCCGACAGTGCCCCTTCCTCAAGAAAGGTGAGCCCCAAACAGCGGTCCATGCAAAAGATGCCTTAGTGGACCGCAAGATGAACATGAGCCGAGAGTGCGATGCGGCAGCAAAAAGGGCAAATGCCATCCTAGGCTGCATTAAGATAGTGTGCCGATGGAAGGAAGTCATAGACCTTGCAAAAAGAAATCCAGGGGTCTTAGTAAACCACAAGTTGAAAATGAGCCAAAAATGCAATTCAGCAGCTAAAAAGGCCAGTGCAATTCTAGGCTGCATGAATAGCAGCATTGAGTCTAATCAAGGTAAGTCATAATCCATGTGAAAGGCATTGAGAGGTCTTAGTGGACGACAAGATGAACATGAGGCAAAAGTGTGATGCAGCAGCGAAAGAGGCCAATGCAATTCTCATCTGCATCAATGAGGAAGCAGTGATTACATCAAGGGAAGGAATTTAGTAAAATAATAATAATAATAATAATAATAATAATAATAATAATAATAATAGAAAGGGAAAATTACTCACAGCAAGGGCTTAGAGATGCCAAATGGACAAACCATAAAGTGCAATCAGCCTGAAGCCTATAAATATCTGGGCATAGCACAGCTGGACAATATCAAGCATGGGCAAGTGAAAAATGTGGTCAGCAAAGAATATGTCCAAAGAGTCAGAAAGGTTTCGAAGAGCAAATTAAACGGCGGAAATACGATCAAGGCTTTCAACCCCTGGGACCTCCCCGTCATGAGATACACAGCTGGGATTGTGAACTGGACGCAAGCAGAGCTGGAGGATCTGGACAGAAAAACAAGGAAACTGATGACAATCCACTCCTCATGACACCTGCGGAGTGATGTCGACAGGTTTGACCTGCTCAGAAAATCAGGAGGCAGAGAGAAGAGGGCTTCTGCAAGGCAAACCGACGGTAGAAGAAGAACAGAAACATGCGCTGGCAGATGATGGGAAAGGCAGTCACGAACCAACATTGTTTGCTGTGAACTAATCTTGTTGTTTATCATCAAATAATACTGTCAATAATAGTAGTAATAATAATAATAATAATAATAATAATTTCATAGAATCCTAGAATCAAAGAGTTGGAAGAGACCTCCTGGGCCATCCAGTCCAACCCCATTCTGCCAAGAAGCAGGAATATTGCATTCAAAGCACCCCTGACAGATGGCCATCCAGCCTCTGTTTAAAAGCTTCCAAAGAAGGAGCCTCCACCACACTCCCTCCGGGGCAGAGAGTTCCACTGCTGAACGGCTCTCACAGTCAGGAAGTTCTTCCTAATGTTCAGATGGAATCTCCTCTCTTGTAGTTTGAAGCCATTGTTCCACGTCCTAGTCTCCAAGGAAGCAGAAAACAAGCTTGCTCCCTCCTCCCTGTGGCTTCCTTTCATCAGCTTCCTTGCAGACTGAGCAAGGAAGCGGATGAAACCATGGACCATCTCCTCAGCTGCTGCAAGAAAATCGCACAGACAGACTACAAACAGAGGCACAACCCTGTGGCCCAGATGAGTCACTGGAACTTACGTTACAAGGATTAGTTCATCCGCTTCCTTGCACAGTCTGCATTTTGGGTCATCCGTTGATTTTTCCATCCTGGCCTTAATGGCCTTGGTTCTGATGGCTTGCTCCTGGGCTGCAAGAACCAGGTCTTCTTCTGTCTCCTTCTTCAAGGTTCCATTCGTGATTAGCCATCACCAGGTCTTCTCCTTGTCAACTTTTCCTTCAATTTTGTCAAGAAACTGCCCATGCAATGCTTTGTTGTGCCATTATTATTATTATTATTATTATTATTATTATTATTATTATTATTAGCATAGTGTCTAGATCTAGGGAAGTAATGCTCCCCATGCTCTATTCTGTTTTGGTTAGACCACATCTGGAATATTGTGTCCAATTCTGGGCACCACAATTCAAGAGAGATATTGATAAGCTGGAATGTGTCCAGAGGAGGGCGACTAAAATGATCAAGGGTCTGGAGAACAAGCCCTATGAGGAGCAGCTTAAGGAGCTGGGCATGTTTAGCCTGAAGAAGAGAAGGCTGAGAGGAGATATGATAGCCATGTATAAATATGTGAGAGGAAGCCACAGGAGGAGGGAGCAAGCTTGTTTTCTGCTTCCCTGGGGACTAGGACGCAAGGGAACAATGGCTTCAAACTACAAGAGAGGAGATTCCATCTGAACATGAGGAAGAACTTCCTGACTGTGAGAGCCGTTCAGCAGTGGAACTCTCTGCCCCGGAGTGTGGTGGAGGCTCCTTCTTTGGAAGCTTTTAAACAGAGGCTGGATGGCCATCTGTCAGGGGTGATTTGAATGCAATATTCCTGCTTCTTGGCAGAATGGGGTTGGACTGGATGGCCCAGGAGGTCTCTTCCAACTCTTGGATT